TACAAATCAAAATAATATTTCAATACAATTAGATTACCACCACATCAGTATATTAAGAAAAATAAGCCAGACAAATATGAAATTTTTAATCATATGTAATAATAATATTATAATCACACTCATGAAACATGAAAGTAGAGAGGAAAAAGAGAGATGAAAAGGGACACATGTAAAATGTGATAAGGGAGGTAATCAAATTCAAGAGGTAACATGTGTATCAAGAATGCAGAAAAGAGAATGCAGGAAGAAGGCACCAACAAGAATTGGAGGGCAGTCAAGAGAAGGCTGTGGGGAGTAAATAAGAAAGTACATATGAAAATATCACAATGAAATCCATTCCCTTATATGCTAACCAAAAAATACAATAAAAAATTAAAGGCTATTCAAAAAATAGACAAGACAAAAATCGTAATTTTATAAAACTAACTATTGCTTTATAAAAATTCATTTTAATGATACCCAATATTTGAAAATAGTAAGCTTCAAAATTTCCAGTGGGAAAGATGTATATTAATAATGATGCAACAACAGGGATTTTTTTGGAATGGCAGTGTTTGTTCTGCATTAATGATAGGATTCAATTCATTTCATTGGTATATTTTGCTTATAAAAACTTAGGTTCAAGCCGGGCGGTGGTGGCGCACGCCTTTAATCCCAGCACTCGGGAGGCAGAGCCAGGCGGATCTCTGTGAGTTCGAGGCCAGCCTGGGCTACCAAGTGAGCTCCAGGAAAGGCGCAAAGCTACACAGAGAAACCCTGTCTTGAAAAACCAAAAAAAAAAAAAAAAAAAAAACTTACGTTCAACTAAATCTTAGCAAAATGAAAACTGCATGTATTGTGTGAATCTTCTGGAATCTGTTGATTTAAATGTATCAAATGAAGTTGTCTGAAGTTACATATGAAACAATCAACCTAGCCAGAGAATGACACAGCTGATTTTAATAAACAGATAAATGAGACTATTTCCCAATTAGTGCCAGTAAACATAAATATGCATCACGTCACAAACAGACATTTAGGCAAAGAGATTTCATTTTGAGCCCTTAAACTCAAGTTTGTTAAATATGCAGAGCACAATCCTGTTTATGGTGTTTGCATTGTGGTTTCTATGGTAATTTTGAGAAGCTCATCTGAAAAGATTTTTTTCTTCAAGGTGAGAAAAAGAAAATCCTATAGGTATTTTAAGTTATAATATTGTTAATTTCCATAATTTATGTTAATATGAAAAGCCATCCCTCTGTAATACAATTGGAGAAGTAGTGTATGTTTTCTAAATAAAGTTAGGGTCATATTCTGATGTAGACTTGTCACTGTTTAGATAACTTGTACACGTCCACTATTTTTTAATGTATTTTGTTTTTCTCAGATGAAGATGAGATGATTGTCCCCATTTCTGAGGAACAGATGTGAGATTCCTTCTGTTGATTATCACTTTCTGTGAAAAAAGTCTTTTTCTCAGAAGGTCCACAAATGATTTTGGCATAAAGAACTCCAGTAGACAGATTATTTTGAGTGAAGTGGCCATGTTTCTTCAAGATGCTCAGTATCACTTTGAAATGGCATGGCTAACCTGACAGAGTATAAAGGTTATTCTAGAGAATTATTTCCTCACATTGTGTTGGAGCATCCAAACATTCAAGAGAGATAGTCTGAAGATTCTCATTCCTCTGATGAATTTCCAAAGTACTGTCCTTACATCGCACACATGACTGGATGACCAAACTGCCATGTTCTGAAAATTGATCACGAAATTCCGAAGTCATAAAATAATACACAACTGGATCAAGGCAACAATTCAGATTTGCAAGACACAGGGAAATAATGTGGAAACACAGAGTGCTCTTAATAAAAGAGCAGTTGGAGAAGACATGTTGCTTCACCATCATAAAGAATGGGAAGTTGAGATGGTAAGGAGTGAAACACACTATGAATACCACTGCACACATTAGGACCATCCTCAAAGCCTTTTTCCTCTCTTTAATATTCTGAGGTGGATCCCGGAATTCCTGTAAAGATTTTCTTGTTTTCCATGTGCAATATGTAATAATTACAACAGGCAATACAAATCCTCCAAGTTCAGCAGCAGTTACCATGCCAATGGAGGAAGCCATACTAATGTCATGAAGCCCTAAATCAGCAAAGCAGGATTCACTGTTGTTGGCTAAGCCAGCACTTCTCAGGATAGGAAGTGGCAAACAGGCAGTCCCCACGATGACCCAGATGGCAGCACTGATGCCCATGTCGTACCTACGCTTCCAGTTTCTGGCTCTGAATGGCTTCAGGAGAAAAAAGCACCGCTGAAGACTGATGCATGTCAAGAAGAAAATGCTGGCATACATGTTGAGATATTTCAGATAGAAGCAGAGCAGGCAAAGGGCCCTCTGGAATGGCCAGTGACGGGTGATATAATAGTAAATCCGGAGAGGTAAGGACAGGACATGAGCGAGATCCGCCACTGAGAGGTTGATCATGAAAATGATGGCCTTATTCTTCTTGCTGATGAAGCGGCACAGAACCCACAGGGCTGCACTGTTAGCCAGGAGACCAGGGATGAATATTAAGATATAGGTGGTTGCATACAGAGAGTGCTGAAATGCCGGATGTGTATCATTGCAATTACTCTCAGCAGTGCTGGTACTATTGCTGCCCATCTTGAATATCTCAGTATGTTCATCAAGGTAAACTATAGAGTTACAACTCCTGCCCAAGGATATAGGTGGTTGCCAAGAGGACGTGCTGAAACAGCATTTGTAGATCAGTGCACTTTACTTTCATACTGTTTGTGCTGTTAATTACCATCTTGTGCATTTATGTTCCTTCCTTTGCATAGTGGTTTCTGTGGAAAATAGAATAAAGATAGAGTCAGAGGCAGGTCAGCACATGTGAATATGCATATTAGTTGTATTCCTACCCGAGACATTAAATGTGATCTTTCATAAATTTGAAAGCTCTCATCTATGCCAAATTAAAATAGTGTAGCAATCTGCCAAGAGATAAATAGCAGTGAGGAAGATATTTTCAAGAATGTAAAAGATCACTCTTTTGACAATAACTTCAGTCAGGTTTTTACTTTGACAGAGAATCATCGAAGTTGTAAAAGTAAACAACAGCCAAGGTCTCAAGGCCCATCAACCCCTAGACAAATATTCCATCGCCCTTATGAAATTTCATGTTTCATTTGTATACCTGTTCCTGGCCAAAGTTTGAGATTTAGCAAAGTTATTGTCATCAACTATGGGATAATGAACTCTTTATCCATTTTCAATAGCTACTTTATAAATTATTAGATGGTTGTTAAGGTGAGCTATGAACTCTTGTTAATGGCACATGCATTAGGAGCCTAAGCAAGGGCTGGCAGCTCACCAGGCTTTAGGAAGGATAAGGTCTTAAGAAAAACAGGGCTCCCTTCTTCAAAATCTGACTGAAATCAAGGTTTGTTTTGCTAACATCATGCTAACACCTTTTAAAACTCTTGCCACAAAAGTTCGGTGTTCATTAACAATACCATGGCAGCTTCAGACACTCATATATATTGAAACTATCTTTTCACCATTTCAGTCAACTACCAGAATGTGTGACGCTCTAGAGGGTATCCTGTCATGAATGAAGCAAATGGGAGCTGCTTTTTTTAACTCTGAAACCCAGTGAAAATTATTCCTGTAAATGGTTGTATTTCCAGTAGTCATAAATTTTGGAGATGTCTTCCAGTTATTTAGTGACTTAGTCTCAACTTAGTTATTCTTGTCAAAGACAAAATAGTCTACTCCCTGTTAGACATAAAAGATCTTCAAATATCTGAAGATAACGATCATGTCTTCTCTCAAATCTTCCTTATCCAGATTCAACATTCATTTCCTAATATGACATGGTCCTTGTTCTTGGTTTTGTTTTATGTTATGACTTTATTGCTTTTGGCCAAAAGCCACCACAGTACAGCTTATTTCACCCTTGAAACAAACGTTTAATTAGTGTTTGATGATTTTTAGGAAATATATTTTATATAGCTGATTTTAAACACAAAGGGGTAAATAACATTTTAGTGCTTCGTTGTACTTTTTAGTACTTGAAAGGACAGCTAGTTTGCTACACATTTTATAAAGTTAAAGGAAAAATGAGACAGCATTAAGGGCAATAAGTACTCAAATGCAAAAGTGAAATGCATATGTTGCAATGCCTCTTGAATTAGTTTGCAAAGTAATATGGGGTCTAGTACCATGTGTACAAACCTAGACACGGTTAATTAAAAATTATAAGGATGTGATCAATCCAGACAAAGCCCATGCAGTGCCAAAACCTACTTGATGTCTCTGCAGTGAGTACATGTAACACTCTGATAAACTCTATTTACTGTGCTGAAGTCAAAACCTACTTGATGTCTCTGCAGTGAGTACATGTAACTCTTGTAAAAACTCTATTTACTGAGCTTAAAGTTCAGTGCAATCAAACAACCAGGTCACTCAGGCAAACAGCTACTCTGGTTTTTTTCTCTGAGTTAAATATGCTGCTGAATCAGGTAATTGATCCAGTAAAATGTAAATAGAGACAACACTATCACCTTTTTATAATTTCCTTGAACTAATTGAAATCATTGATATTGTGCTTTTTTATATTCAAGCTAAATCCTTTTAAATACTTGCAAACACAAACCAGGTGGAGTATTGAAATACAATCAGACAATTAGTGCTTATGTTCATCTTTGGTTTAATTATAAAAATGAATAACAATTACTAAATACCCATTTTAGCCAGATTCTATAATAAATACTGTGTGTGCACTCTATCAGTCTCTGACATCAATGCTATGAAACAATAAGATATAATGACTGTTTTGTCAGATGAACAAACTGAGCCTTCCAAAAGGCAAGGCTCAATTCCACAAATTACAGAAGTAATTTTTCTGGCTTCACAGTATCCATAATTCTGATCATTCTCTTTAGTGAGCATCATATAATATTTCTGGCAAGATGAGTTCACTTTCCTTTCCAAGTGGTTTTGCTGTGGGAAATAGAAATCTCCCACATGCCAACTAATCATTCTCTTATTACATCTTCTCCTCCCAAATAAAAGTCAAGTAAAGTGTCTTGACTATTTGAAGGGTCTGTTGACTGTTTGTTGGGTAGATAATTTTATGAAGGACAAATGAATCTGAGAGACAGAAAGTCTCTGTGAGAGGAAGGGAATAAGTAGGAGTGAAGGAGTGTCTGGGGATTAGGATTTAGTTGTGATGTTTGACTTGACCACCAGGTGTCATAAGTACACCGATGTTCAAATAGGTTGATTCGTGAAAGGAATGTTTGAAACCCCATTAATAAAAAAATTAAAGATCAGTAGGCATCCTGTGAACTTCAGAAACAGAATCCCTTCAAGAGTATTTTAGAAAGCTTGGTTTATTTTTGTTATAAGCTTGCACACTTCATAATCATTTTCTAAAGACTGCTTGGTTTCTAGATGTATTGTAGATTCCTAAATTATAGAGCTGTTAAAGGCCATCTAGATAAGAATCAATCATTTTTCAAAAGAGGAAAACAATTCCAGAAAAGGGAAACCTAAAAGTTACAAATTCACACAGAAAGTTAGTGGTGGTGGCTGAACTGGGGTCTCTTGCTTCTCACCACAGAATAATATCAACTTTTCCAGGAACTTTGTAGATGGAAAGCACATTTTTGTAATTATACAATAATACAAATGTTCAGAAATGAACCAATGCCAGATTTAGACCACTAACCTTGACAGTGAACTGTTACAAAAAGAGAGATTGCTTCCTTCCAATTTTTCCAGAGCAAATACACTATGTTTAAAGGAATAATTCTAGTCCCTGGGGATAAGATTGTGTAAGAAGCCTCCTTAAAAAGCCTAGTTATGTTGCTCTTAATCTTTCATTATTTATACACATAAGGAAATGAGTACCATTAGAAAACAGATAAGCAAAGACAAAACAAATTTTTATTAATATAAAACATTCAGTTTGAGACTCTCTATTCTGTCTGGTTTTACACATACACACAGACATTTATATACACAAAAGTTTTCAGACATAACATTTTAATTCATCACTTTCCAGGTAATTTTTCTATGTATACTGATTTATAAATGAATTCATAGTTGGCCATTTTAATTGAATTTGACTTGTGTATACATATACTTCTATAAACATAGTTTTAATTACTTAATCACAATTAGGATAAAATTCCATGTCAATAACATCTAAATGATAAATTTAATAGATGTTTACATTTTAATTAGAATTATATAATATATTTTATTTAATTAATGGACATTGTAGTATAATACCATTTTCTTTATTATTAGAAACAATGGGAAAGTCCAGATGGTGGTACCTTCCTACAATCCCAACATCGGGAGGCTCAGGCAGGAGGATCAGGAGTTAAAGTTCATCATCCTTTACATAAATATGTCAAAATCACCCAGGGGCTATGTGAGATCTTCTCTGGAAAAAAAATACATTAAAAGTTATGGTAAATGCTATTGCATACTCATCTTTATATATTTGAACAACTGGTTCCTTAAATTTTAAGTTGAATTGCTAGGCATTGAATCAGTAATTCAAATTATCCAAGAAGGCTTCCCATATGAAATTCCAAAGTTCATGTTCTTTAATGTAACATTACAGTGTCAAGTACGTTAGTATTCCAAATAGAATTTTGTCTATCTGGTAGAAGTATGATGTAGCTTACTATGACTCAATCAAATGGCATGTGACAAATTATGCAAGCATATGTTGAACATATCTGTATACATTGTTAAATAGTAAATTAAGCTGAATAACATATTCTTCACCTCCTCTAGTTAGAATTTTCATGAGAACATTTAAAATTTCCTGCTGGTAATTCTTCAGTATTCTAAGTATTATTTGTTGTTTTGTGATGGTGCATAGTAGATCTCCAGAATATGTGACTCATTGCTTAGCACCCTGCTAAAGAATCAGCTGTAGTTAGAAAACTATGACAGTTATCTCAACATCATAATAAAAAAGAATCTTGAAAGTTCCACTTTTAATAGGTTTGAAACCACAAATCCAAATACTTTAACACATGGTTCTTAAAGTTAAGCATGCCACAGAATGATCTAAAGTGAAGTTCTACGCAGAATTTTTCATTCAGTAGATCTGGGATGGAGACCAATAATAAGCATTTCTATTAATTATCCCATGTGATCACTGTTTGAGAAATCACTACCCTAACCCACTTCCAATACAAGCCAGAGTTGTTTTATCTGAGAAAAAAGTATTTTTTTTCCTCACAAATATTGTGAATCACTTTTTTTCTTTTCCACATTGAATATGAGGAAATTTTTCACAAGTGCTTGGTCTAATTTCCAACAATTTGTAGTATAATCTGGCATGTTTATCTATACTCAGTTATCTTTCCCCTCTCACCATTCTGGAAAGAAATGCTTAAAAAACATTTAAGGGGTATTTTGCTCAGTGGTTAAGAGCACTTGTTGTTGCAAAGGGCCTGGGTTCCATTTCCAACACCCACTTGGAGGGCTCACTATATCCTCGGGCACTAGGCACACATGTGGTACACAGACATACACTCAGATAAAATAATCATACACATAAAATAATAAGAAATAAATCTAAAAAATTGAAAAACAAGTAAAAACTGCATCATATTTAGGGTTTTAAAAATACAGTCAGATTCTCTATTTAAATAGTAAATCTTCCATAATTGGGAAACAATGTCAGTTATCTGAATTAGTTATTATTATCCAATGTATCTTTGAGAAAAGCTTAATGAACTTATTTCTGAAATGTCATATACAACTAGTTCCATACAAGTTATTTTTAATGTTCAGAATCACCACCATGCTGTGG